AAGAGGGAAATAATATTTACTGGGATTTTTCTCCTAAGAAATACTATGATATCAAAGAAGTCAAGATATACAGCACAATAAAGGTTATTGTAAAAGACATCAAAATGAAGTTTGACATTTTAACTTCAAAAATATTTCTTAAAATAGAGAAAACAACCGACCGTCATTTTGTTTTTCATTCACTATAGTGCTAGCCCAGATTTTAACATAAGTTCTTATATCAGTTGTAAGTAGTAGGTTTAATGTTAGAAGTTCTCAAGATGTACAGCACTAGATGCAGGTATAATGAAATTTACAAGAAGAAATCCTTAAGAAGTTACTTGCTACAAATTTGAATGCTACCACAGCAAGGTAATAAAAAGGACTTAGAAATCCAAACATTTGAATCTAGCACTAACCAGCTATTGACCTTGAACAGCTCAATCTTTCCAGGCCTGTTTTCTTACTTGTCAAGAGGCTACTAAGCTAGAGCCATGAGTCCCAACAAATAGAAAAGACCTCACCCAGCAGATTGCTATGCATTACCTGGCAGTTCTCTAAGGCTGCAGGACAGCAAGAATCCTCCAGAGTTGAAAATCCCAGAGGAAAGGGTTTGGAAACAATAGCGGCCTCAACAATTTCAAAAGTTTAAATAATAACATCTCTACCCCATACCCCTCAAGATCTTCCCCCTGAAAATTATCTTATCTCCACCACTAAGGTTTCAAGAAATAAAAAATAGCCTGTCTCAGAAAATGACTAAACACTTTGGAAGCTCTTAAAAGGTTCCTTCCAGCTCTAAAATTCTCAGTAATTCTGTAAATTTCCATAATAAACAACATTACAGAACAAAATGCCTACTGAATCTTTTTTTTTTTCTTTTTTTTTTTTGCGGTACGCAGGCCTCTCACTGTTGCGGCCTCTCCCGTCACGGAGCACAGGCTCTGGACGTGCAGGCTCAGCGGCTATGGCTCACGGGCCGAGCCGCTCAGCGGCTTGTGGTGTCCTCCCGGACCGGGGCACGAACCCGTGTCCCCTGCATCAGCAGGCGGACTCTCAACCACTGCACCACCAGGGAAGCCCCCCTACTGAATCTTTTAAAACAGATGATTATCAACCACAGGTCATATATAATAAAAGGTAGAGATTTTAGCAATCATGAAAGCCAATGAACAAAACACTGTTAAGTGTTCAGTAAATATTTGTTAAATAATTTAGTTTCAAAGTCACGATGACATAATAATATTTTACACACTTGTAAAACCACTAACATTACAAGTTATAAAAGATAATTATTTAAGGAAAATGTGTCTTTAAAAAAAAAAACACCTAAGGTTTCATTGAATGAAAACTTGATACCCCACAGAATGCTAATCTTTCTACCAAAGTATGTTGGCCAGATATCTAACCTTGAAGGAAAGAGGAATAAGCAAAGAAACCTAGAATAAGCGTGTGCAGAATTCTAGAATTTTGTTCACTTGTGATAATTTATTTCCAATAACTCACACATGTATATAGGAGGGTTCTTTTCCAAATAATGACTTAACCTGTATCAGAATTGCAACTTTTTCAAAGCTTATTTAAAAAATAATAATAATAACTTCCTTTCTAATACCTATATTCCTCTTTCAACAAACCTTTACTGAACACCTATTATTTCCCAGGCACTTGGTTAAACATCTTCAAAAAAGATAATGAAAAACTCATATTCCTCTTAAGAAGCTCATAACGAGAGTAAATGCATACATCTAACAGAACCATAGTATGCTAAATGATAGAATAAAGGTAAGCATCACAAATTGACTTTGAGGAACTAATTCCAGGAAGAGAATACAGCCATCCTCCTCTCTCTGGCTAATTTGTCCCATTGAGAGAGAATAAATACTCAGCTTCATGAGAAAGACAAAATTAACTCTGGGTTTATGAGGAAATGCTGAAGTTAGATAGAGATCACAATCAGAGATATCAACAAGAAACACAAAGGAATGCAAGTTTGGGATGGGCTTAGGAGAATGTCACAGGGACTAGATACGTGAGCTGGATCTTGAAGAATAAGCAGTTAACGAGCAAGGCAAAATAACAAATTCTAGAAAGATATCAATGACTAATCTTTTTAGCTTAACTGAACAATTAGAAATAATAAAGAAGCACAAGATGAGGGAAAATTCTTTTTTCAACGTCTGCCTATTTCTATAGTTATATAGGTGTCTGCTAATTTGTACAATTGATTTATCTTTGAAAGTAACATGTTCATAGATAACATAATACTGTCTCAATCATAAGGTAAAAATTACTTCCATTTGAATTATAATTAAATTTAATTCATTCCATTAATTTTAAATTCAGTGTAGTTCAAACAAATGCAAAATCTGAATTCTAAACTATTTTTCAATTATACAATCTCAAATACAAATCTATGTTTAATATATTTTAGTTTTTGATAGGCTCTTGACATCAACTATTTTAACTTTAAATATCACTTAACAGAGAACCCACAATTTAATCGAGTAATAAAATATATTTTATAATATGCTGTACTCTTTCATGACTTCAGTAGTTTAGGAGAAATACTTCTCATTTTCAGCTATACTAAGTAAATTTCAGTAATCTAAATAACAAGACCTAAAGAAAATGCTGTGAGGTAATAAATACACAATTTTCCAAAGTTATACCTTAAAAATGCTAAGGTATTCATGTACAATGTCATCCTTGAAATAATGCTACAACATGAAACTTATATAATGTTATATGTCAATACAAAAAATGATAAAGCTAAAAATGTTCTAAAACTGAGATAAAAGTTTTATTTTCTCTTGTACACATACATGCTTTTGAGAATGTGTATAAGAATAAAATATGGTAAGACGTGCTAAGTTCTTTATGTTTTTATTTAATCTTCAAAATAATCAAATACTGTGTTATAAAAATACTATTCCCGTGTTTAAATACTCAGAATCCCTCATCTCAGTTACTCATCTAACTGTAAAAATTGTGCTTTTAATCAAATAACACAGTATAAAAATATGAAGCAAAATTGTGAAAATAAAAATAATGCTGAATCAATAAATACCTACAAATTATGGACAAAATAATCTGGTAATATTGTTACAAATATAATCTCAAAAGTTATTGGAGGGCTTCCCTGGTGGCGCAGTGGTTGAGAGTCCGCCTGCCGATGCAGGGCACACGGGTTCGTGCCCCGGTCCGCGAAGATCCCACATGCCGCGGAGCGGCTGGGCCCGTAAGCCATGGCCGCTGAGCCTGCGCATCCGGAGCCTGTGCTCCACAACAGAAGAGGCCACAGTAGTGAGAGGCCCGCGTACCAAAAAAAAAAAAAAAAAAAAAAAGGCTGCCAACATCAAATACTGCTGAGGTGACATGGAAAGAAGACTGAGATTAGGTCCCTGAGTTTAACAACTAGGTCACTAGGTTATATCAGAGCTCTCACTCAACAAAGGATAAAGGAAAGGGAAAGAATGCCTGCCGAAGTAAACCTGCTGTATACAGAAACCAAAGCTAATAAGACTCTATGCCAATAGTGTATAAACTTTTTGCTCTCAGGAACTCTTCACACTCTCAAAAGTTAAAAGAGCTTTTGTTTATCTAGGTCTTATCTAAATCAAGAAATAAATTACTATATCGAAAATAAAAACTGAGAAAAAAACTTAAATATACATTGTTTCATTTTTTAAAAATCATATTTTAATATAAATAATATACTTTTATGAGAAAACCCTATATTTTCCAAAACAAAGATAACTTTGTGTGAAGAGTTGTAATTGTATATTTTTAGCTTAGAGGTACTCAACTACCCAGCTTAATAGAAGACATCTGGATGGTCATATCTCCTTCTGCATTCAATTTGTTGCAATGTGTTGTTTTGTTTCAAGAATATGAAGAAAATCTCGACTCCCACAACTATGTAGTTGAAAAAGGGAGGAGTATTTTAATAGGCTTTTCAGATAATCGTGGATATTCTTCTTTGATACTAAATAAAAGCACAACAAAGAGCTGTTTCTCAAACGTTAGCTGCACATGAAATCTGGAAGCACGTCAATGAAGTTTTCATAGTGTTCCCTTAAAATCCATTGGTTTATTTTATACTTTGAGTGGATTATCTATGCATGGTTTTGTAACATCATACATTGGTTACTGGGAAATACTGGTTTACTGAGTGATGCAAATTTTCCAAATGTTGACAAACCACATAATAAAATATCAGAAATTATATTCATTGATATAACCATCCGATCTCATCTTTAAACTGCTAGGAAGCTCTTAAGCTCACTGTAGTAGTTACAAGTTTTCAAAAATTCTAATTTTCACTTGAAAGCTCAATTTTTATCATTGGCAACAAATATTATCAATTGTTTTCTCCGAAGTGACAAACTTACTGTGTTCATTTTTGAGAAAATTGCTAAATATCCAAGTCTGAATAACCACAGTTCGCCAGGCATTCTCTCAAATAAAAATAACGTTCTATGAAAAAAGCTAGTTCTGCTCAAAACTCAAACAACTACAAACAACTCCAACTGCTCTCCCGCGACTCAACCACACTAGTTTGGTATGCAGCAGGAGTGCTTTACTTGTACTTCCCAGTTCATCAGACAGAATATTAAAAAAGACACAAGACTTGCTAAAATTAGTCATTTTTACTGCTTCATGAACAATATTATTAAGTGAAACTAGCATTATTTTTACTGCATGTGCATGGTGGTGAAGATTACGAAGAATATTGCAATGTGGTGCTACTGCTTTGATTTATGCTAAAGAGCCAGCAGTTTTACTCACCATTGCCTCTGCACCACCTCCTCAAGTGTCAACACAGTGAAAAAGGCAAATAAAATCTTAGTATGATTATGAACTCCCTAAAAGGTCCTCAGGGACCCTCAGGGTTCATCAGATCACACTTTGAAAACCACTACTATCCAAACACTAATCACTTTCAAAATTTCTCTTAAACAATGAACCCGTGTGACTACTCTAACCCAAGATGTAGAGAGAAAAACAAACCAACCAACCTCCTAGAATAAGGAGTCTCTGAACAACACCTGTGTGGTAGCTGGAAAGGCTCCTCAGGTAAGGGAGGCTCAGAACTCAGCATTCTGAAAAACAGACTGACTGAGATGGTCCGCAATTCTTTTCTCACATTCCCACACCAAGGGTCTAGGAGAATCTGTGCCAAGCCTCAAATTAGAAGACAGAAAGCAAGTATGACAAGACAACAATGATACTGGAAAAGAGTTTTATCAGATGATAAATGGTTTAATTTTCTTCAAAATGTGAATTTTATACTGTTTACTTCCATTTTATAGAAGCTGAAATAACTCATTCTTTTTAACAACAGTCAGATCCTAACCATAATACTTGTTCAATTATAAACACTATTTCTTTTAACAAGAAAATTTCAGCTCACACATAAAGATTTGCTAATACTACCTCATGTACAGAGTTGGTTACAATTCAAAGTGTTTCTGAATTCACAGCAAATCATAAAATTTTACAGAAGAAACAAACATCTATTTTGCCCACCACTGTATGTCTAGTACCTAGCTCAGCCCTCGTACAAAGACGTTCAATAAAAACTGCTGAATGTTGAAGTGGTTGGAATGAGACAAGAATTCACTGCCAGACTCCTAGTATAACACCTAGTACTCTTGCTAATATGTGAAATCTTTCTCATCGCTCTCTAACATAACATCTCTGAGAAACCTAAAGGGACTACTACAATTTATCCTGAGAAAATATAACATTACCTGTTACGCTTGAAATTACATTTGAAAGCCTGCTCTGGACTAGGTGTTTTATAGGTTCTCATTTAGATCACAGTTCAAAACCAAAACAAACAGCTCTAACATTTTCATTTTTAAGTATCTGCGATCTGAATTAAGCATTAATTTCTACTCCTATATGAAGTGGCAATAAGATACTAGTCTAACTCAATATATTGATTGTACTACTCTCACACACACTATACTAAATATTTCTTTTTCTCTGATGATTCAGAATGGTTCTCGATTTCTTAAAGTTTCTTAGGTTTATATTTGAGACACTTATTGTGTTAAAAGAATTTCAAATATAAAGATGAAGGAAATTGTGTAGTACCTTTGAAAATAATTGTCACTGTAACTTTTTCATTTTTACATTTTTCCTGTCAGTTTGACATTTATCATTGATTCTTTCACAAAAGCACATTGTAGAAAACTTCAGTTTTGAACTATCTAGTTATTTAGATTCTAGATTTTTAAAAAGATTAGTGAAATTTAAACTAATTAAGGCCAGCAAGTACAAAATTAAAATTCAATCAGAGAAATGGCACACACTTAAAGAATATAATTTATCAATTTAGGAATTGAAGCTACTTCAAATCACATTTCATTTTGAAATACTGCTATCATTTCATTCCATACAGTTATTCTGGAGAAGAACATGACCTACCAGGGATATTGCCAAAGGAAAAGGTCATCTGTTGCAATATAAAGGATTTGAATCAGATATCCTTTAAACAAAAATGACTGTCAGAAAGACTTTAAAGGGAGGTCATGGGGCTTCCCTGGTGGTGCAGTGGTTGAGAGTCTGCCTGCCGATGCACGGGACACGGGTTTGTGCCCCGGTCCGGGAAGATCCCACATGCTGCGGAGCAGCTAGGCCCGTGAGCCATGGCCGCTGAGCCTGCGCATCCAGAACCTGTGCTCCGCAACGGGAGAGGCCACAGCAGTGAGTGGCCCGCGTACCACAAAAAAAAAAAAAGAAAAAAGGGAGGTCATGGACTCCATCTTCTCTGGAGGTTTAAAAAGAAAAGATTTTTCAAATTTCTGGGATTGGCTTAGACTTGGCCTCACATATGGTGACTAAGACAAAATCAGTTCAAAGGTGAGTCTGACCCAAGGGATTCGAGTCCTGTTTGTCAGTCACAAAAACAAGTAATTAGCAAACTGCATCCCTGGGCTCTGCAGCTATCCAGTCCCTGCTTTAGTAATTGCCAACCTTATTCTTGAAATTACCCTAACTGCTAATTAACATGTCAGTCGTAGAGAATTATTTCTTCTAACTACTGAAATTTTTGCTTCTCCAGTGTTATGTAGCCCTTTAATCCTGTTTTTCTAATATTACCAGAGAGACAAATATTTTGTGGTGCAATCAATATCTGCCCTATTAACAGTGCCCTGTTCCATTGTTCTACCCAAACATGGATTCCACTCTGAATTTCAGAAACAACTGGAGAAAAATAACAGGTAACAGAGAAATTAGAGCTCTTAGGGTTAACTTAGGGCCAAAATCAAGAGAAGAGACAAATTCAGAGAGAGGAAGGAAGAAGCTGAGAGGGTCGTAGTGTAGAACACTTACTTTTAGGAACAGAGTGTCCCTTAGACTTCTGGTGAGTTGCCCAGAGCCTCTTCAGTTTCAATCCAAATGACAATGCTTCTCTGAGTCCTTCTCAAGTAATGTTTCCACCACTAAAAATTGGATCTATAAGAGCTCAGATGTACTGGTAAGAAATGTCAGGGGCCCCCATGTGGGCCTCAAGCCTCTTTTAAACTAGGCCCACTTCTCTGTCCTGGGCCAACTCCCCTGTGCACTATATTCCTTCTTCTTCCAGGTGCCAGGTATTCGGCCTGTTTCTTCTCTTCTGAGCTGCCACCACCTACTCTATTTCTCAGGGTTCCTCTAACCCCAAGACTGGCTGTGGAGTAGGACACCAGCTTCCCCCCTTCCTTGCTGTCCCTGCAAATAAACATACAGGCTCTTCTAGTTTCAGTATTTTTCTAGTGGCTACAAGAAAATAAGAGAGGGAACAACAAAAAGCAACAATATCGCACCAGAGATTAAGATTGTAAAAACTGTCTCCACATTAAAGTTCCTGCCTTTTCTGAAAATTGCTTATTGAGCGTTTAAAAAAGTAAAGTACTAACATAGACATACAAATATAATCTAAGCCAAATCCAACCCTATATAGACTTAGAGATACAAAGATACTCTGCTTTTCAAAATACTTAAATCACGGGTCCAAAAATAGTTACCACATTCATTTTAGCAAATGGTACTTTTTTCTTTTTAGCATGTTGTTATATTCCCTTGAATTTAGTAGCTGTTTGAAAATTTGCTTTTTAAAGGACATGATTAAAATATTTAATATATTTTATCCAATGTAATGAGAATTAATATACGAAAAGCATATTGTGGTTTACAAAAAGACAGGTATGTCAAAAGCAGCTAGCTTCACTCAGCAGATCTTAAAATTTCAAGTTCTGACAACCATTTATGTGTTCACATTTAAAAATTTAATAAAATGCTGTAAATGGTGTTTAAAAATCTGGATATCTCATTTTTAGGAATCTAACTCCTACTGAATATATTTATTCCTCTAATGTTACTATTGTATAGCCCTTTTTAAAAACAACAGTATAATGCATTAGTATTCTCATGATAATCCAGTTTCTAACAGACTTTAATCAAGAGTATATGCCATCTAAATATTAGGCCATAAATCACAGTAACTAAGTGCTGGCAGATCAAGAATGCCACAGACTTTGAATTTCCTGAATGATTTTCTTTACCCACTTAATACACTTAAGAGGTTTTTTTAAAGACTCTTATCATACTGTAAGCTTACAATAAAATAAAGACCGAAAATAAGCAGAGATCATTTTATCCCATTGGTATAGTCTAACAGATTGCCATCTAATCAAACTAAAGATATTCACTTTCAGAAAAAAATGTGTCCCTGTGACTGGGCTCACCTCCAACTATTTATTTATACAATATTAGAGGACCTGGGATTAAAAACACTACACAAACCCCTGATCTGACCCTTCCAGACGTCTATGTAAAAAAAAAGGAAGCTTAATCTGTTGTGGATTCTATAATCAGATACTTTTTTGAGGAACGACATTAAATTACATCTTTCGCTCCTAAAGAGGATTTCATGGTTTTTCTTTGATTCCTGCACACTAACACAACAATGCAGCCAACGTTATTACATCCGGACTGTGTGGTGGGGAAGGGGTAGGGGGCGGGGGGGCATTACACCCAGCGACACGAATTAAATCGCAGTAGCTAATGCCTCCCTTAAACAATTTATTCTCTCTTGGCAGCAAAAAACGTTCCAGCCTCTTCAATTACCCCTCACCGCAAAGCATCGCTTGGGTCGCGATCAATCTGACCCAGTTCCTATCGCGGCCACCACCTCAGGCTCGCCTCCGCCCGCCGGGTCTGCCAGTGTCACGGGAGGGGGCGGCGGCCGCAGGGGCGTCCTCGGCGCCGCGAGCCGGTGGGCAGGCGCCGCGCGGGGCAAGCCCGGGACTCACCGGGTGGAGGTGCCCTTCCGCACATCGCACATCATGCACTTGAAGGCCTCGGCGCTGTTCCGGAAGGTGCAGACGCTACAGTCCCAGTAACCCTCATCCGAGGACGGCTTCGGCTGCCGCTTCGGCCTGCAGAACACAACCCGGACACGACGCGGCGCGGGGTCACCAGCGGGCCGCGCCCGGGCCCCGCGGCCGCGCCCGCCTCGCCCCCCGCCCCAGTCCCGCGACCCCAGCCCTGCAGGCCCCCAGCGCGCCAGGCTCCGGCTCGAAGGGGGAAGGGAGTCAGGAAGGCGGGGGCGTGAGCCCGGCCGCAGCAGCAGCAGCAGCCGCCGCCGCCGCCGTCGCCGCCACCGCCGCTCGGACACCCCGAGCTGCCGCTCCGGCCGCCGCCATCGCGACTCCATTGTGGGGCGGCCGGCGCCGGCCCCTCACGCTGCAGCGCTCGCGCAGCGGCGGCACCGCCCCCGTTTTCGCCCTGCTGCTCGGGCTGCGAGCGAGGCGGCCGCCCGAAGCCCGGCGCAAGGGCCCCGCCGCCTGCACAGTCCGGGCCCGGGGGCCCGGGCGCTGTTACCTGGTGGGGCTCTTCTTGTCTCCCATGGCTTGGCTACAAACGCACGCCGAGAGTCGCCGCCGCGGCCGCTCTATTTGTCAATAAGGAGGATAATAAGACGGGCGGAAGCGGGCGGGGGAGGAGGGAGGGGGCGGGGAAGGCCGCACCGCCGAGCTCCGGAGCCGCCGCCGGATCCCACGCAGCCTCCAGCTGTCGGGGAAACTCCTGCCTGGGCCACGTGACCCGTGCCCGCCAACCAGCGGCCGCGCCGGAGACTTCAAACGAGGCCAGCGCGGCCCAGCACTCGCGGCGAGTTCGCGGGCTGCCGCGTGGGGGTGGCCGCCGCAGCCTCAGGCGCGGTCACCGCCTCTCCGCCCGGTGCCGCCCGCTTCCTGTCGGCATCCTGGGAGCCCCTCCAGCGAGAGATGCTCTGTCATCCTGCGCGAAGCCTGGTCCAAGGCGGGGGCCGGCGTTCAGAGGTCAGCCCGACTCTGGAGCAGAGTGCGCGACTGCGGTCTCCAGGTAGAACCGCTTTCCGGGCCTGGGCGGTCCTTGGCGTCTCAGCCCCAGCCCGAAGGATACCCGGGGGCAGGCGGCAGCCACCAGTGAGCGCCATTGCTAGGTGCCTTAAGGCACTTGGTTTTGTGCACACAAATGCTCTACCAAGTAGGGATTGTCGCCCTTAATTTGGAGGAAACGAAACCGAGGCTCGAGAGGTTAGGTGACTTCCTCTATATTACCTAATTAGAAAAGGATAAAGCCAGGAATCTAACCCTGGTTTAATTCCAAATGCGCTCTTCTCGCTTCCCAGGCCTCTACAGTAGCTGCTTTAAAAAGAAACAACAACAGAAAACACTCCTAAAACCTTTTTTCTTCTTTGTAAATAACGAGATTGCATGTGCCCTGAACGTTGTTAAGAAAAGAACACTTTCCTCCCAGGTCTCATTCCCCTAGCGTACTGGATGCCCTCGTGTTGTACTGGACTCTGGCAACCCATCCAACTGGTCTCTGAAGCTCCAGCCCCACCTCCTCGATCTATTCAGTAATTCACAACCAGATTAATAATAAATGCAGGTAACATTATGTCACCACGCTGATCAAGAACTTTGCTAAAGCTCTGAGACTCCTTAGCCTAATAACACTTTTTACTACTATGTGCTGGCACTTGGTAAATCTCTTTACATAAATGCATGTTTTAAAGGGCTCAGAGTACTATGCAAATGTTCTCATCAACTAGCCTATCCCTACATTTGAAAGAAGGAATTTAGGGACCAGGTTAAATGTTTTCTTTAATGAACTGGCCAGGATTAGAGCTCAGATACCGCGTCAGTCTTTCACCAAGTCATGCTTGCTTTTTTTTTTTTTTTTAATTGAAATATAGTTGATTTACAGTATTAGTTTCAGGTTACAGCATTCAGTATTTTTACAGATTATACTCCATTATAAATATAACAAGATAATGGTTATAATTCCCTGTGCTGTACAATATATCTTTGTTGCTTATCTACTTTATACATAGTAGTTTGTATCTATTAATCCCATACCCCTAATTTGTCTCTCCCTGCTTCCCTCTCGCCTTTGGTAGCAAGTTTGTTTTTTATATCTGTGAGTCTGTTTCTATTTTCAAGCCCTGCTTTCTGATTAACCAAATCAGGTTTGCAATCTACAGCCGTTTCTGAACTCATCGCACCATCTGTGTTTTTTGCAAGCATCGCTTCTTATGACTCAGAC